ACGGTGGTGTACTCTGAGCAGCTGGGCCGCGCTGGCAGCAGAGGTGTGGGGCGGGGCGGGTGGATGGTTAGAGTCTGCAGGCCTCCCTGACCCCGCCTTGTAACCTGGGCTCCCATTTGGGACCAGTCCAGCCCCCAGGCGGCCCTGGGAGCTGGTGTGGTAGAGCTGAGGCCCCAGCCCCAGTCTCACCCGGGGGGTGGGGGGTGGAGGAGGACTCAGCGGCGTCCAAGGTGGAGGTTCAGGCAGAAAAGGAAAGCACCAGTTGGCCTTCCTCCTTTCCTGGCAGGCCCCTCCTGGAGCAGTGAGGTTGATCAGGGTCCCTGAACTTGACCAACTGCTGGGTAGCCTCAGACAGGTCCTTCATTCCTCTGTGCCTCACTTTCCCCTCTGCTGGGTGAGGATTGATAGCTACCTTCCTCACCCATCTCAAACTGGGCTGCGGGTAGGGTCTTGCTGGGTTTGACCTGCCCCCGTGGTGCCTCGCTGGTACCACCCTTGGCTGGGCAGTCATCTGGCGAGATGGGGGTAAAGGTCTTTGTTCATTAAGCTGGGTCCCCAGCAGTTGGACTGGTAAATGTGAAAGTTCTGAAGCTGGCACTTTGGGCTGGCCCCGGGTCTCGGCCAGTCTAGCGCCTGACCCTGCCGTGTGGGATGTGCCTGCCCTAAGAATTCTAACCTGGCAGGGACCCTGGGTTCACAGTGACCCCACCAGGCCCCTCAAAGCTTGGCCGGGCTGGGGGTGGGCAGCTGAAGGCTGGTTAAAGCTGGGACATGAGGAGGACAGGTGGGAAAGGAATGCAAGGGGGGCACCTCCGCCCTGCCTGTCAGCCAGACTCAGACAGGGGTGGCCGCGTGGGCTCAACGAGACCAGGGTCCTGTGTTCAAGTCCCCACTTTGCCACAGACTTCCAGGAGCCCTGGGGCAAGTCTCTTGACCTTTCTGGTCCCAGTTGGCCCCCCACAACGCTGAGCTGTGACAACGCAGATGGAAAAGATGGCCTTGAAGCCAAGGCTCAGGTGGCCAGCCCTCCATAGGTGGAAAACCACCCCAAGTGTGCAGAAAGGGACTCTCTCTCTGCTTCAGAGCAGGACATGGTCGAAGCAGAGAAGGGATAAGATTCTCTCTCTCTTTCTCTCCCTCCCTTCTTCCCTTGACTCTCCCCTCCTCTTTTTTTTCCTTTCTTAAATGGGGAAGGTGTGGAAACCCTGTCCTGTGGAGGAGGCGACCCCCCGCAAACTCTACCCCACCCCAGGAGCCCGGGGTGGGAGATGGAGAAAGCTGGGGCTGAGAAGCAGCATCAGGCAGGTCAGCCCTCCCCAAACTCTTTGCAAAGGGCGGGCTTGGTTCCTGGGGCGGGGGGGGTGGTGGCCCCCATCCCCCCAGCTCAGGTTCCAGCCCACTGCCGAGCTCGGTCTCCCTCCTGGGCCCAGAAGCTCTGCGGGTCGGCCCGGGAGGAGGAGGCCTGCCCACCTGGCGGGGATGGCACTGATGGGCTTCCTGTAGATGGTGATGAGCTTGTCCAGGACCACGACGGCGGTGGTGAAGACACGATAGGAGTGCAGGAAGGTGTTGAGGAAGTCGATGCTCAGGAAGCGCAGGTCCGTCAGCCTCTCCAACAGCCGCTCCACGCTGGCATACCGGATCTGCAGTACTTTGCAGGAGTTCATGGTTTTGCTGAAGCGAATGTCCACGTCATCACAATATAAGGAGGCGTCGGACCTGAGGAGGGCGGAGGGACGGAGAAGGCACTTGGGTCTGAAGGTGTCTGAGTCCGTGGCCGTCTCCCCGACCGGGCTGCGAGCTCCCCGAGGGCTGGACCACGCAACACCCATCACTGTCTCCCCAGCGCACCAACAGCCAAGGATGGAGGGACTGATGAAGGATGAGGTGGCTTGTGACGGGAACAAGGAAAGCTTTGGAAGACTGACGTTGAGGAAAAATGGGCTGCAACTTCTTTTTCCCAGTAATACCTGAAGACCTGACATTATAAAACTCTTAGAAATGCTGGATGAAATATAACAAACTTAAAAATAATATGCTGCCACGTTCACAAGCTATGAAGAAAGTCCGTTCACACAAAAGCATGGACACACATATTCAGAGCAACGTTATTCATAATTGCCCAAAAGTGGAAACAACCCAAATGTCTATGAACTGATGAAAGGATAAACAGAATGTGATCTATCCATACAATGGAATACTATTCAGCCATAAAAAGGAATGAAATACTGATATATGCTACAACATGGATGACTCCTGAGAACACGCTAGGTGAAAGAACCTAGTCACAAAAGTCCACACATTGTAGGATTTCATTTACATGAAATATCGAGAAGAGCCAAATCTATAAACACAGAAAGTAGAGTGGTGGGTGCCAGGGGGTAGAAATAGGGGGGAATTGGAAGTGACTGCTAATATGCATGGGGTTTCTTTTGGGGCTGATGGAAATATTCTGGAATTAGACAGTGGTGATGATTGCACAACACAGTGAATATACTAAAATCCACTGAATTGTACACTTTCAAATGGTGAGTTTTATGTTATATGAATTATACCTCAATTAAAAAAAAAACAACTGGGGCAAAAAATATACGGGAAACTTCCAGGGGCCAAAAATGAAGAGAAATTTGGAAACCAGTTGAGGCTTTAGCTGCCTTTAGGGCATCTGTTGCTCTTGGAAACCAAGTGCCTTGGTTTCAACAGAGTAGACCAGGACTGGGCCTGCAGGTGGAGGGAGTTGGAGTGAGACCCCCATGTAAAGCTGGGACCCTTGAAGGGTTATAGGCTCAGTGAAAGGTGGCCTAGAAAAATCTACCCACCAGGAAAGGAAGATTGCAAGTTTTCTGTTTTAGCCCAGGCTGTGAGGTGGGAGCATGGGGAGAGTATCAAGCTCCCTTGAGAGTGTATTAGTTGCCCTTCCACTGGTTTTGGAAGACAAATACCTACTATCTTTGTGGTCTGGGAAGCCCAAAGAGTATTAGTGTAGTCACAGGATGTAATGCTCCTGGGGCAACTGGTGGAAACAAATGCAAGACCTTTCTGGAAGGGCATCTGTCAACCAGGCTCTACAAGACATTCAAAGATAAACCCCCCACTGAAAATGAGCTCACAATCCAAAATTAAAAACCACACGAGCAAGTGTCAGCAGATATGACAAATAGCTTAATTCAATCCCCAAGGGTCTAATTTTTTTTCTAAGTCTAAAAGTCTTACACATTTTTGTTACTAGTTGCTCCTGCTGCCAGCAATATGCTGACATCTCTCCTCCCTTAGTTATGAAGAGCTACAAAGGGTGAAGCTGCGATGGTCATTCATTATAAACCTCCGGCCCCCCACCCCCACCCCCGTGCCAAGGCGGGGCAGAATCCTTAGCAGTTTATTCAACCTTCTCAGTCTTTGTAGGGAGAGGTCATCTCCTCCTTGACCTTACCTCGGCTGCTTCTTAAAGTATTAGGGTCAATTAACATAGCCTGCGTTACATCAGCTGGACTAAAAGGGAAACCCTCAGGGCTGAGCAGTCATCCTGGATTAGATCTAGCAAAGTCCTTCATCTCTGGCCAAAGTGATTTTTGCATCGGGTGAGGGTATAACCCAAGCCAGAGCAATCCAAGTCCTTTTCTGGGACCTTCCAAATTGGATCTGGTGGCAGCAAGTCCCATTCCTCTCAGGCTGCCAACACGTGAGGACAGGCGTCTGGTGATCAACCAGACCATAGTGGGCTGAGGACCTGAGGGCTGAGCTGGGCCTAAACATCCACAGGTCTCTCTTCTTTCAGTTTGAAAAGAGACAATCCTGAAGAAACAGGAATGATTCCTTCTAAGGTAGCTTTGCTGCAAGACACAGAACATTTTAGAAAACACCTGTTTTATTTTCCACCAAGATTCAGGAGAATATATATGGCATTGACCGAACCGCAAGAAGCAACCAGGAAGAGGAAATCATCTGAGATCGGAAAGATTTCTTGGAAACGAAAGACAAGAGTGTTGAGTCAGAGGACATGAATGCAAGTAACAGCAGATGAGAGACTCAGAAAATCAAATGAGTGACACAAGAAGCCAACTTGAGAAATTTTCCCAGAATGCAGAGAAGGTGGAGAGGTTCAAGTGAGGAGAGAAAATGTAAGCGGCATGGACTAGACAGACAGGGATCCAGCCAGTTGACTACAGACCTCTAAAGGAAGAAGAAAAGTTGCAGAGAAGCAAAACTGAAAGACAGTGGGCAGGAGAAAGTACTTGCAGATGGGAAGGACTCAGTGGCACCATCCCTGGAGAACTGCCCTCGGCCCTTGGGTGAAACGACTCCCTTAACTCAAGCCAGGTCCGCACCATGGGACTGCACCTTCTAGAAGGACAGTGCAACTCCTCACACACCATGGATCCCGAAGTGTCCAGCCTAGACCTGACATCCTCAGTGGTGATTACTGGACCCCTCTGGCAAGGGTTTGCTTCTAGCACCTTCTTTTTGGGCTCCTTCTGCCACCGGAGGGGGGTAGAGAAAGTGAGAAAAGCCCTCCCTTTTCTTTTTTTTTTCCAAGGGTTAATGGAATTTTTAAAAATATTTATTTTATTTAATTTATTTATTGTTTTTTTTGTTGTTTGTTTGTTTGTTTTTCAGTACCATGTGGCACGCGGGATCTTAGTTTCCCGACCGGGGATCGAACCCGAGCCCCCTGCACTGGGAGTGGGGAGTCTTAACCACTGGACCACCAGGAAAGTCCCAAGCCCTCCCTTTTCTATCAACCTCCCTTGCCCCCTTCTTCTCTGTCGCAAACCTCACAATCATTGTTGGTGATGGTGCCTCTGGCAACTCCAATGTTACGTAAACCTGTTCTGGACTTTAGTTGCCCTATCTGTAAAATGGGAGGGCACACTAAAGCAGTGATAAAAACAGCTTTCATCCTGGATACCAGTTCTGCCAGACTGGGAGTAACTGCCTGGGGCGGTGTTGACCATTACAGGCTCAGCCTTAAAGACTGCCGTGACCCATTAGTAATGTCTGCCACGGATTCTGATCCAAATGGCTGCCTTGTGTGTTAGATATTTACCAGCCCTGCTAGAAGGGGTTTTCGGTCCCTCACAACACAAGCATCTTTTGACTGTAAATTCAGCCCTGCCTCTCTCTTTGCTCTCCCAATACTTTTTATTTTTTTTTTTGAGATTTTTTTTTTTTTGACGTGGACCATTTTTAAAGTCTTTATTAAAATTTGTTACAATATTGCTTCTGTTTTACGTTTTGGTTTTTTGGCTGCGAGGCATGTGGGATCTTAGCTCCCTGATCGAACCCATATCCGCTCCACTGGAAGGTGAAGTCTTAACCACTGGACCTCCAGGGAAGCCCCCCAGTACTTCTTGACGAAACTCCAAGTGGCATTCC